TCTATGCTTCTTTAATCCAATTATTTAAACTAAATCTAAATGGATAAAAGATTTATTAATCCACTAAAATATCATAATTAGTGGCATTAATTACTAAATACTTTAGAGACAAGTATAAATAAAGTATACCAAATCTAATGCAAAATATTAATTATAAAGCTTGTTTCATATAGCTATTAGCTTGCTTTGTGCCTCCTATTGAAATGATAATGGTAAAAAGTCAAGGTTCTAAGTATGTAGGATTGAGACTTAATTCTTGAGTAAGCTACTTATCAATCATAATTGGATGAGCCTCAAAATCTAGTAACATACAAAGATATAGTATGGTAGTATTGCCACTAGTATTGCTATCTATAAACATATTATTTTTATTAATTAATCATACAACTTTTGGATGCAAATTTTGATATTTTTAAGTAGATTCAGCTACAACATCAAATAAAAATGCTATCTTTATAGGCAATGACACTTCATTGGAAGGATTTATGTTTGTAGCCTTCAAATGACCTTCATCAAATATTTCAATAGTCTCAATTGTAATTTTTACTTGTAACTTAATTAAATCCACATATGTTGTAGGCTTTGTTATTACTTGAGCCATTTGTAATGATGGCATAAGCACTTTGCCTTCCAACATTATATCAACCAATTGAAAGATCTCTGTTGGTTTAAATTTTGAAGTCAAGAAGACAACACTTAAAAATATAGGCATATTTAATATTTTATAAGCCAAAGTATGTATTGAGTTTTTAATACTATTATCTTCATCTTATATTGAAGTTGAAATAGAAGGTTTTGCTATAAAATTAATATTTGCAAGGCCAAATGATAAAAGAAATTGCATATAAATATTAAAATCTCTACAATTGCTTCAATAGCCAAACAAAGGTTATAATAATTCACTTATTGTAGATGCCATATTTTTAAATATTTTTTTATATTTATAGTAACTACAACCATCATTTGTTTGGATACATCAAACATATATTTTTCAAAAAAAAGAACTTGTTTCACTTCTAAAAGTTACATGAGATCCGGTGACTTTGTCTAATGAGGCCATACTATTGAATCTCTTCTCTAGCTCAACAATTTTAGCTTCTAATGTCTTTTCTTTATTTAAAGCCTATTATTTATATAGATGTAATATGGAGCAATTATCTTCATTGTAATTAAGTTTACCACAATGAGTATACTTCAATTACTTCTTCTTAGATTTATTTCTTATTTTAGCTATTTTAGCTTTTGGCTTAGACCTCTTCATATATAAAGTTTTTTTTCTTCTTGGAACAATTGAAATCATGCTTTATGTGACTAAATTCACCTCACTTCTAACAATGTATAGTCTTTTAAAATTGAATTTCTACCAAACTACTTGTAGCAGTTGCAACCTTTTTAGGCTTACATACATCTATCATCCAAGCTACTATGTCAATAGCACCATATTGATAAAGTATCTTATTATATTTCTTAACTTCAATAAATGTTTTTGTCAATGTTGCCATATTATTATAGTTGAAAATAATTCTTGGTGTGGCTAAATCAAAGAATCCTTTGTCAATTTTAAACAAGAAAATCTTAATAAGTTGGCTCTCAACAAATCCAACCCTTAATTCTATTGCAAATCAAACTGAATAAGTATATATGATGTATGGAATATCTTCTTTTTACAATAAAAGTCTTGAATGCATTGCATTTGATTATGCCTTAAATTTCTATATTTATACTTTAATTGTTTAATAAATATTTGGAGATATTCAAATGCTGATGGCTCTTTCATCGTAGATAAAGTTGTCTTCATTGCTTGAGCCATACAAGACAAAGTAGTTGGAGTACAAATTAAGAAAGTAGATGTTCCTTTTCTTTTGATATCTTCTAAAGATATATCAACTTTTCCTTGGATTAGATCTTCTTTCTTTACTATAGGCATTAAACTTAAGATAGCACCCTCCTTCAGAGCTAAAATAAGTTCTATATGTATCACTCAATAATGCTTTACTTTATATAATTTAAGTGAATATTCTTCACTCCATTTTTTTTATAGCTTTGAAGTATCTTGTGCTTCAAGTGTTGTAGTAAGAATTCAAATGCATACCACTCATTGAAAGTAAGAGACCTTTGATGCTTCTCCTTCATCCATGTTTGAAACCTAAATCTCCAATTTGACAAAGAAATGCCCCCCAACTCTTTCTCAAAATCTATCCCTCACCATATTTCAAGGATTATCTTCCATCTTGTAGAATATATCTATCTTTGGGACCCAAAGCCTTTGAGTGGTATCCAATATTGAAACATGCTAAAAAGTCTTGTTAATATCCATCCTTGGCTTAAAGTCCTTAATGTGATCACTATGCAAGTAATTAGATGAAGGAGATGGATTATATCAACTCTTAATAACATTATAAAATGGACTATTTGAGTACCTACAACTATCTAAAGCCTGAAAGGACAAATTATACTTACAAATACTACTAAGTTTTGTAATTCATCAACAATGACATCTAAATCACTACATATCCAATACACCCACAAATAAAAGGATCTTATTGGTGATAAATTTGAGTTCATTCTTACAATATACCTATCTATACAAATTAGTATAAATACAAAATGAGGTAACTATGGAAAAACCTCTGAGGATAATACTTACAACTAAAAAAAGGTACCAAAAATAAAATAAAAAAATCCACACAAAATCCTCATTCTCAACAAGACATAAGCAAAAATCAAAAGTGAACTAAGAAAATTAGTACCCATTTACAATTGGTGATCACAAATTACAAAACATGTGATAATAAAAGATAATTATAATAGAATGAAATGTGGAGAAGTGAGAAAAAATCAAAAATTTACTTAAGAAACAATTGGCATTTAGTAAATGCCACTTCAATATTCCAAATGATCTCTACTTCCAAAATTCAGTATGTTGATGGTCTCTTTAGGTTTCTTTCATATAAAATTGACTAAAAAATAATCAAATTTAGACTCCATATGTACTTGGAGTAAACTTCCAAACTTGACACTTAAAAGTTCTATATATATATATATATATATATATATATATTTTCATATCTTATGATTAAATAATAGATTAATAACCATAGAAACTTGTAGACCATTTTTATATTACTATAAATGAGCTTTTGACTGTGGTGCCTTATCATTATGATTTTTATGACCATAAAGTCTTATAATCTTACAACTTGGTTACCATGAGGTCTTGTTACTATGACTTACTTAAGACCTTGGATTGATGCCTTGAGTTACAAGAAAATGCCATGTATTGTTGCTAGTCGCTATAGATCCAATTCGTGGCTCACATAATTTAGTGTGTAATAGCGCATTATACTACTTTGTATCAAAATTCTTGTGCATTGTATAACTCTTGTGATTCATGCTCTGGCATCTTCACTTCCATAACTAAGTATCCTACCACAATCTTCTAATGCTGCCTTGCAAGCCAAGCTAATAATCCATTGCCACACGTCTATAGTTCAACCTCACCTCACAATTTTGCACTCTCTAATTGTGACCTATTAAGATTGTCTTGTATCACCACCTTGTGCTTCACTTCCTCCATATTGCATCACAATGTCTAATACCACCTCAATACAATATTGCAATATAGTGTTCTAAAAATAATACATACCAACTCATTTATATTCAAGCACCTAACACAATACCACAATTTACATTAGCCAATTCTAATATGCAACTCCAATACCACATATTGCAAAGTACCCACAATGAAATCATATCCAGCACTTAATACTATTGTACTAATACTACCATAGTATAACAATATAATTCAATTGATTTTGGTGCTCAATATAATAGTGTCTAAAATCAAAAATTAGATTTTTATTTATTTTATTATTATTATTTTTTATCTACTTGTTATACCACAAATTATATAAAAAAAAAAAATAATAATAAAAATAATTCTTGACAAGTAAATGATTAGAAATCTATACCAAACTAAGTCAAGCTATTTCTCATACCATAAAAAGAGAATCCAAGAGTACAAGTGAAAATAAGAAAAATCCTAAAGCTTTACTAAAATGAATAAATTATCATAGTGAAGTAAACTCTTACAACAAGTACTCTTATTCTCAAAATTACTTACAAGATTTGACTTGATAAGAATGTCAAATCAAGGATTTTTTTCAACTTATGTATTCAAACCTTAGTTGATATGAACAAAGTCAATTAACAAAAAAACCATCAATAGATGAAAAACCACTAACCAAACTAAACTACATACATTTGATGAAATTTGGCACTTGATGCCATATCACATGACATATCACAAAAAACATATTTGATATAACCACATAAGTTGAAGCATCAATATGTACCACAATTTAAATGTTACCTTATCTATTTATATAACCAAGATACATGTTTTCAATTAAATCAAAAAATTATACTTTTTATTTGTTTTATTATAAATCTCAAAACATTAGAACAAGAATTTAAGTCCATGGTTGTAAGCCAAAATATTTATTTATTAATTTATAAGTGTGCTGGTATCAATCATATCATCAAAAACTAAGCAAAAAAACTGAAAAAACATCATAAAAGCAAAAGACATTTTAGTGAGCCACCTTATTTATGATGATGTAAAAATAAAGTAGAATCAAGCGACATGTTGCACAAACAACATGATAAAGAGAACAGGGACGAGAAAAAGAAAAAGAAAAAAGAAAAACAGAGAAGGAAAAAGAAAAAAGGAAAAGAAATACTCCAAAGATGCGCTTTCAACAATTGAACTTGCCACGTCAGACCGATGCCGGTCCAAAAGAAGGCGGGAGTCCCGACGACCGAGGTGGAGATTCCATCCATATTTGTTGCCCTGGAATTCCTCGCCCTCAAACATGATAATTCCGCACTGAATCGATACCCTGGGTCCCACCCTCGCACTCGTCCTTCCCTTCGTGAGTATTTCACATGGATCTCTCGCTGCCCTCTCTGGATTCACCGGACCGGGACACTCTCATCAGCACCCGGCCCGTGGAGAAGGATCTCTGGTCGGAGCGAGAGACCGAAGAAGGAAGGAGCTGAAAAATGGCTGCCGCAAACAACAACTACATAACAACTTCGGCTGTGGACTGCTCACGCAATGTTCCGCGTTCTTGTCGCATTTGTTTGACTCATTCCACCTTTCTCGCTCGCGGAAAAGAGTTTCTGCTCTCTTCCTCTGCATTCTGATCTTTGGATGTCCATCTGTTGCTATCGTGAATCGTGGGGAGATTCTTTCTTTCGTTTCCTAGGGTTTGTTGAGTTGTAGGAAGGATTGTGTAAGGTACTGCGAGTGGATGATCAGTAGAAATACGTGTTTCGAACGATTTCGGAATGAGGAGTTCTCGTAGCTGGTTACGTGGAGATTATGACGCTCGTTGCGAGTTTGTGTGTGGAAGTGTTGAGGTGGAGTTGTGAAAAGCAGGCGGGAGTGCATGAGAGAGGGGAGTGCATTGTGCATGGATAGAGGTGTAGGTTAAGGGTGTAGAGTGGGACAGTTGCTGAGGCGTGCTGCTCTGAGTTTAACGTAGCTGCACACCATAAGGAGGGTCGCTGCTGTGGCCATGGGCGACGACAAAGTATCGCCGTCGCGGTCGTGTGGGAGTAGCAGGGAGTTGCTCATGGCAGGAAATGGCGATGACTTAGAGGATCCTCCGAAGTCTGGTCAAGCTTCATCTTCAGCTTATTATTCGGGCAGGGAGGTGAGTAATGTTCTCTCTTTCTCTCTTTCTTACAGTTAGATTTCTTTTTTACTCTGCTCTACAAGCATCTGCGGGTTCTAGTAACTTGGACCAGAGGTTGTGTCGGTGAAGGTAGGGACATGGTGAGGGACATAGATTTCGCCGATTATTTTTTTTACCTTGCAATTGGTTTCCCGATCCTTCTCCTGTGCGTTTTGCTGTTTGTCAAAAATAACCCGCCCTCATTCCGACGAGTCTTGAAGTCCCTTCTTCACGTCGGCTGACAGGCTATGTGTATTCCACCTTAAGTTTCCCATTTCCACCCTCTTCGATGTTGGTCTATCATGTTCAATAGATGGTGCAGTAGGCCACAGCTGAGGTAGCACTACTGAGGACTAGTTATACCCTTATGAATAAGTATTACAGCATTCTACTGTTGACGATTGCATTCTGAGATGGTCTTTCTGCGACTTTCGCGGTCGTGCGCCGATTTTTGATCATCAAACATAATCTTACTAGACGAATGGATCCACGGACCCTAGAAGCGTTTTCGGCATGTAATTTGCTTACATTTACACGAATTTGTGTGAAGCATCCTTAATTTCACGAGGATGGAAAATATTTTTGGAGCTGCTCATTTCGTTAATATTTAGTAGCCTGTTCACAGCATGATTTACAGTGGAATCTATCGATGATGAAGATAGTGGCATGATTGCAAGTCTATTTTTTCCTTATTGCTAACAATAAAAGTGATGTCGACTTCGGTTCGTTTTTGTGTGCTGCATTCTTACTATCAGAAGGGATTGTATTGTGGGTTTTCACTAAGATCGCTAAGACGACAAGTTCAAATATGCGGAATGGTGGAAGATCTGGAAGTCTGAATGGAGCAAATCAGGTGAAGCAGATGAAATTCTTAGTCCCCCGAAAAGTTAACAAAGATATTTGATGTCAGAAACCTCACAGCCTTTCTGTCTCATCTTTTCCGAGATGAACGGGGGACAGTGTTATGTTAATTTGCGTGCATTTAGGGCTTTTATCTACCTCTTGCTTTAATACTGTAACTGGTGGTCATTTGAACTGGATACGTGTTGAGCTTTATTGTTATTCCTCGGGTTAAATTTTATCTTGTTTGATGCCTCTTCATATTTTCACTGTTTGAGTTAGATTTTGGCCACAATCACACGTCTGGAGTGATATTTACCCTTCGCGGAGATTGGGGAACTTTAAAAATTTGCATTTGTTAAACGCGTGTTTGGACTGCTTTGGCTGAAGCATGTTAAGTTTAGACATGGATTTAGAGTCCTTTAAAGTATCTCAAGCAAGTCCGGTTTGTTTATGGAGACGTTGAGAGAAGCGAAGCGATATTGACTGTATGCTTTGTTTGTTGTGAGCAGGCTTTTTATGGTTTTCTGTCAAGTTGGGCGTCGAAAAAGTTCATGAGCGGCTGGTGATTCTTATTACAATTGCGTCTTTTTTAATGGGTTGCTTTTGTCATAGTCTATATTCATTTTAGAGCTGGTGCAGTTTAAGAAGCAGTGTTGAATTGAGATGTGGTGGTATATGCTGAAGGGTATAAATTTCAGGTCATTTCCTACAGGCTCTGTCATGTAGCAGGGAAGTCTGCTCAGTGTCTTATATCATGTAGTCGTCTGGTGTGTGGTACTGTCGGGAATGTAATAATTTCACTGTAGTTTCTCATCTTTGCTGGCCAATCATTAATCCCTGTTTAGATTGGCGTTGGCATAAAGATAACATTGTCTTTTAAATTTTGATCAATATTATTCTCTTTCTAGTTCACGATGATCCAGCGAAGGTTCAGCTCATCGGTTGTGCTGATGATTGAAACAGTGTAATTTTATTGCCTATTGCGGTCACATTCTACACTACGTGGTGGTTCATTTTATTCTTTGATAGCTTCTTTTCCCCGGTTTATGACTATCTCGGCATGCATGTGGTTGGTAAGCTATCATTGGAGTCTTTCCGGCTGCTGTTATATTTTTATTTTACAGGGTTTGTTATAAATTTTTCAGTTTCGTTCTGTAGTGTAGGCACCAGAATTATTGGAATAGTTTTCGGGTTGATCGAGTCGTAGTTTGGTAAGATCAGGCATTTGTAGGGCTTTTAATGCGAAGTGCTTGTTGTGACAAAGCTTGAAGGTTCTGAGCTTTGTTGCAGGGCTTGGATTCGTGACGTCATTTGTGTTCATATTTTTGGTGGGAGTATTTGGAGCATCGTGGATCGGATCATCTGTGATAACGGTTGGCGAATGGTTCATTAAGCGCATGCCACTTGTGAAACAAGTTTACTCTGCCTCAAAGCAAATCAGTGCTGCCATTTCTCCAGGTATAGCTTCTTCACTATTGGAAACTACAAGGTCGTAGTGGCTGTGTTTAAGAAAGCTTCGTGGTTTGTGAATTTATGATTTGTTAATGCGCTGATCATTTTTTATTGAGAGAACCTCAATACTTCAGGTATACTGCTTGTGTTGTCCCTTTGGTTTCAGGGGACTTCCAAACCTCAAAATATTTTAGCCTTGAACCCAAAGGAAGTAATAGCGTAAAGAATGTATCCAAGAAGTTCAGATTCTATGCGATTCAATCCTAATTTCATTTGCGTGTGACGAGAAAGTTTCGAACTTCGAGGTTTTTCCTTTCTGCGCATGGTTGATGGATCCGAACATTCCCGTCATAAAAACTCATTTCAGCAGGAGTTCGTTTTAAATCCATAATCTGTATGCTTCTTTCACTGTAGCAGTGAATGGGCAGATGTCATCCTAAAACTTCTATTAGCATGTCACGATTTTAGTTTCTCTATGATCCATGCGCGTTATTTCAAAAATTTACATTATTTCAAGGTAAAGTCTCATTTGTGTTAATGTTTGAGCAGATCAAAATACACAGGCATTCAAAGAGGTAGCTATAATTCGCCATCCTCGAATTGGAGAGTACGCGTTTGGGTTCATCACTTCCACGCTTGTTCTTCAGGTGAGGTGCCTTTGCATCATGTGCCTCTTTTTTCAGTACGCCTAGAGGTGCCACGACATGACTCAGTGACAGACGGTCACGATCCAAGTTGGAGATCCCCGTGCGGAGTCACTCGACTTCACAAGGGTCACATCATGTGTACACGAGCTATGAAGCCTTGATCTGAAGTGTTGAGTGGTGGCAAGTGGTGGAGTGCGTAATATTGCGGCTTGATGTTAGATTTGGCAGCTTGCAGTTGCTGTTTTTTGAGGTGGTGCGTTTGCAAGAGCTTGGGGCACTGACAGGTGAGGGATATTTTGTTCCCAGCACACAAACCACGAAAGCCTTGCTTGAGCATAGGCTGGGTTGTGTGGTGATGGCTCAGAACGGGAGCTGACCGGGTGACTGGTACTTGTTGTGACGAATCAGAACGAGTCTGGGGACGAGGAGCTGTGCAGTATATATGTACCTACGAATCACCTTTACATCGGCGATATTTTCCTTGTGAATTCGAAGGACGTGATCCGACCGAGCTTGTCCGTGCGGGAAGGCATCGGTACGGTTGAGATTTTTTCTGGTTGGTTAGGGTGTACCGCATTTGTGTGACATGTGGGTTGGCATCCGCAAATCGTTGATGTGTCTTTTAGGTAACGTTGAGGATGTGAAAGTTGTCGTCGTATGCTGTAGTGGTGACGTGCTGGTCCTCTGGCTGGCTGATGGCCTCGTTTCGCAGAGATTGTGGTGTCGGGAGGAATGTCGATGCCGCAAGTGATAACGCCGATGTCATCTCCTCCATCAAATCGAGTCATTGTATCGAGATGAAGGGCTTGTATGTGGATTTTTCGGGGCACAGTGCGGACCCCGTCGGATGGTGGGTGGTACACCATTGAAAGAGCCGAGTATGGTCGGAACCGGCCATTTGAAGAATAGTAGTCTGAAGGAGGGGTGGGATTTCCTTCTTTAAATTGCTGATGTTGGAGGGGCTCCGTTGATGAAGTCGCCTCCTCCATCTTTTTGTACTCAAGCCACGTCCTTGTTGGTACGTGGAGTTAGTTTTCGTCGCTGAATTGGGCTGGAGTGTATATAAGGTTTCTGTTAGTTGAAGTTCTCATGGACTAGGGCTACAATACATTCACTACGCTCATGAGTCTATTGTGTGGAGTCTATTGTGTGGTGAGGGAATGACTTTCAAGTACAGGACTGAAATAGTAGTTATCAGGTATTAAGATTCTAATAAGCTGAGTGTAAGACTATCGGTGTCTTGAAATGGTGCTTGGAATAAGTGAATAAAGTGATTGTTTAATATGCATCTTTGCTAAAATTTAGCAAACAGTAGTTCTTGAGTGAAATTTGTTAGTTGTTGGTTCTTTAACTTTTTAGGGCTACAAATTTACAAAAGTTGCAAACAATGATAGAAAGTAGAATGCAATCTTCTTTGAATCTTCTTTAATTTTTAGTAAAGATTTGTTATCTTTTATTTTGATTTTAAAAGATTTTATCAATAAAAAAAAATATCAAGATTCTTTATTGGATTTACAAATTTTTTAATTAGCTTCCATGTACATTCACTAATATCATATTTATGCCAATGAATAAGATATTCCAACCTATTTTGGCATTGCCTTGAATTTAATAATTTTTTAATCTCAAATTTTTGATAATTGTCCACTTATATAAGAAGATATGGCATTTGTCTTTTTCTCAAAATATTCATTGTCTTGTATGGCTCAAAAAGAGACATATGGAATGTGAGATAAATCTTCATAAATTTTAATAGATGTAATCAAAATGCAACTATATTAATCTATTCGAGTCTATGGTAATTCAACTTATTATAAGAGCAAATAGTCTTAATATTATAACAAAATAAATATATATAGTTGCATGTATGGAATTGAGATTGTTTTTTTACAATAGGCATCTTTATTATTCTTTTGTTGTTCTTGAGCTTCGTTTAATTGCGCCTTTATTGTTGCATGTAGTTTTAATAAATAATTTGCTAAATCTTTTGCGAAATAATTATCAACTTTTAAAAAGTCAAAAATATAAAATTGTAGATGATAACCATAATTGGCAAAGAAAGGTATTTGATAAATAAAAGAATGTATTATATCATTATAAGCAAACTCTATCAATGACAAAAGAATTGTTCAATCATCTTTATGGTAGTTGATAGTACAACTCAAATGCTATTCTAAAATTTCATTCACATGCTTTATTTATTCATTATTTTAAAGATGAAAAATCAAAGATAATTTTATATCTACCTTCAATATCTTGAAAAGGATTTTTTAAAATTTTGATACAAATCATGTTACTCTATCTAATACTATATCTTCTAATAATCTATGATAGCAATTAATATTGTCAAAGAAAATTTTAGCTATTTCTTCATTTGTGATAGACTTTATATATAACACAAAATGTGCCACCTTGGTGAAATGGTCTATTACTACAAATATAGAATCATTTAAACTTGAAATTAAAAAATCTATAATAAAATCTATAGAAACAAAAGATTATAGTTGTTCGGCTATTGGTAATAGCTGAAAAAATCCATAAGGTCAATATCAAAGAATTTTTTATCTCAAACAAACATCACATGATTGTACAAAGTCTTTAATTGCCTTCCACATTTGAAGCTACTAAAAATCTTTGGATATTAGCTCCAAAGTTTTAGTATATGCAAAATGTATTGCTACTAAGAAGTTGTGACAAGCTTGGAGAACACATAATCATACTTCACCTTTTAGAATATATAAACAACCATCAGAATAGAATAGATTATTTTTGAATTAAAATCTAAAAATATCATGAGACTTAAAAGAATTATTCTTAATATCATGAACAAAAAGATCAAAAGACATACTTGATTGAACTTTCTTGAGAAATGTTGAATTAATAATTAATATTAATTTCATTGCACAAAGATTAAATTACTTGAGCTTCAAAAAGATCATTTTTTTTAATTAAAAGTTATATTTCTTTCTTTTGGTACAAGATAAGAATGTTTAAAAAAGACATTTGATAAATCTTTTTATTTTTTTAATTAATAATTAATTTTAAAATCAAATCTTAATAAAAACATACTTTAATAAACTTGAGAATGATTCAATACATGTGTTAGCTTAAAATGCTTGAAATTCGTATGATCTGTATATATGTTGATTAACTTAGAAGCATCTTTTAGATAATGATGTCATTCTTAAAATGAATCTATGATTGCATGAAGCTCTTTATTATAGATCTTTTAGTTGATCTCGGCTACTAAAACTTTTTTGGAATAAAAAGCTATTAGATAGAATTTGTCATGTGCTCCTATTTGCAATAATACTGCATCTAAGGTAAAGTCCAATACATTTGTTTCTATAGAAGATGCCTTTGAAAAATCAATGTTATATAAGATTGATGCATAAATAAATATTATTTTTTAAGCTTCAAATGATGTTTCAGCTTCTTTATTCCACTCAAGTTTGTCTTTATAAGTCAAATGTGTAAGTAGAGCTATAACTTGAAAAAAGTTTTTAATGAAGATTTGATAGTAGTTGACAAATCTTAAAAAATATTGCATATCTCTTAAAATTCTTAAATTCTTCTAATCTATGATAGTTTGGATTTTTTTAGGATCCATTAAAAGACCATCATTTGAAATAATGTATTCTAAGAAGCCAACTTGAGTAGTGTAAAATACACACTTTTCCATCTTTGCGTATAATTTTTTATCTCTATGTTTTTATAACACACGTCAAATATAAAGTTTATGTTCTTTTTTATTCTTACAGTAGATTAAAATATTTTTTAGTTAATATACAATAAAATCATTAAGAAATATTTGAAAAACATCATTCATTAGATGTTGATATTATATTTGAAATATCTATATTTGATCCAAAATGCAATCTTTTTTTTTAATATATATTAAATTATATGCTCCTCATAAATTCATTTTTATAAAAATCTTTACTTAATTGAATTGACCAAAAAATCTTAAAATAAAAGATAAAAAATACATATTCTTAATAGTGATCTTGTTGAGTCCTTAATAGTCCACTTGCTTGCAAAGATCTATCTTTTTTCTTTACAAATAAGATAAGTACTCTTGATAGAAATTTTGAATGGCATATGAAGTTCTTAGCCAAGTTTTTATCAATGATTTCTTTGACTGTAGCTGATTTGTTTTGCAATATGCTGTAAATTGGTACAAATTATATTTGAGTATATTTTTGAAGATCAATTGATCAATTATAGAAATAATTCTTTAAAAAATATATTATTTTTTTCTAAAAAATATCTTAATAATCTTGATATTGACTTAGAATGCCACTTAAAATCTTTCCACCATCAAAAATAAATGTGTTATGTATAGCCAAAGACAACTTCTTTTTTGTAGTATGCATAAAAATTCTTATATCTATAAATAAAAGTTTAATTGTATTGAATTTATAGATTATTACTTGATTAAAAAATTCTAAATTAAACTACAAAAAAAATCAAGGTTATAAAAAATTTAATCTATGCTAAGTTTATACTTTTTTAGCCACAATAATCATAAAATAAATAAGTTGGAAAGAGATCTAATTACATTAAATATTACTAAGCTATAATAGTCTTTAGTTGTTATATCTAAATAAAAATAATTATAGATAATATCTCCAAAAGATAACAAATAACCATTTATGACTTCTATATATATATATATATATATATATATATGGATTTAGTTTTCTTGATTAAAAATATTTTTTTATTTTTTAACAAAGTCTTTGTCTATAAAATAAGTTGAAGCTTCTATATCTAACAAGTTCATTCTTAGAAGTATTTATAGCTACATTGGAAAAAAGTGATCAAAAAAAGTTAGTAGAGACCAAATTCATATCTTTACAATAAAGATCATATTTAACTAATATATATACTCCTAAATCTCAAAACCTTATTTATAACGTAGATTGGAATGACAAAGCTATTATCAATCAATTTTATTATGGATTGAAAGATAATATCAAAGATTTATTATTGACAATACTAAGAGCAAATTTGTTAGAATAATTTATTATCCAAGTCATAGCATGCTATAATCAATTCTTTGAAAGATGCCAAAAATAAAGCCTTATATTTATTTCTTTTCTATCAAAGAGAAAGTACTTCCAAATAGAAGTGCACCTATAAATCCAACTTGAATAAATTTATTAGGATATTTGAAATGATACAACCTTAGAGAGATCTTTAATTATTATAAAAATCCTTAAAACTTTAATCTTATTCCATCAAACTTCTTCAATATATTTACCTTTACTTCTTTTATACTTGTAGTGATAAGACTTTTTGGATTCAATTGTGAACTTGATTTACTTGTTTCTCTTAATTACACAACTTCTTGACATAGACTTTGAATTTCATTATTGATTTCTTCTATAGGCATAGAAATAGTACTTCCATGGTTGATGTTAGAAATATATAAGATTTTATCTTAAGAGTATTAATAAACTCATGAAGATTTGTAGTAGTTGTAAATCTATTTTGACTTTTGTTAAGAATAGTATTCATGATTTTTTTTTTCTATAAACAAACCAAATTAAAGAAGGATAATCTATAACCTCTAATACCAAATAAAAAATTCTATAAAGACAAGTAGTCCATTCTTTTTAAAGAAAAAAAATTATATTAAAGAATTAAAATATTAGTTTAAAAGTAGATAGTCTTCAATTTTTAAAATACAACAATAAAAATAGGATAATCGACTTACTTCTATAAAAAAATAAAAATAAAAAATTAGTACTCTTATTAAACTATCAAGGATATGAATTACAACAAATAAAACCTCAATACTCTCTAGTGTTACTCAAAAAGAAAAAATATTTACTCAAAATTAGTATAATATTAAAATTAGAATGATTATTGCCAAACATAAGAGTAGAGACTTGAAACAAGACTAAGAATTAGAAAGGCATTGATAAGAGTGAAGAAAGATTCATTCTTACTTCTATCTATACTATATAATTAGGAGCTACATAGCAATGTTCTATAGGTTTCCTAAGACATGTCCAACTTGCAAGACACATTTCTAACAAGTAAGACAATTTTTCTATATGTGCACCATATGATAAACTTGTATCACAAGCTACTAACATGTATAACATGTGGCTAAATTGTTAATCAAGTTTCTAATCTACCAATCAACTATAAATATGTCTAAAGTCAAATCTATATTTGTATAGTTTTTAAGAAGCTTTGTTTCAAGATAATATCAAATCTACCTATATTTACCTTCTACTTAATATTTCTTATCTAAATAAATATGTATGTTATACT